CAAAAAACCTCTGTAGGCTGTGCTCCCAGGTTTAAAAATACACAAAATAACCAAAAATATTCAGTTGCCCCTGTAGTCAGCCACGACTCCCTGAAAGAACAGTGCTCCTGACAAAGAAGATCAAACACAGGGCACAGGGAGCCCCTCTGCAACAGCTTGTAAAAACAGGCTTGAAACACCTTTAGTTACAATTAATCAGAGTGGAGGTTTTGAATGTGAATAGAAAGTGAAAAAAATAATAATCTGTTTAAATGAGAACAAATTCAGATTCTATTCTGTCTCCAGACCCGTTGACCTGATGTCTTTAGCAGCTCACTGAGGAACAGACAGCGACTTAAGGCACAGTCAGATGCAGAGGAAAAGGTAAGTTACATTCCTTCTTTTCCCTTGGTAAATGCGATCACATTCCTGCATATTTAATAAATTGTTGTTCAGCTGCTTCAGAAACAAACTTTATCACCTTTTCCAGGTACATGAGCTGGTCAGTGGATATGAAGAGATTTAGTATCAGAGTATGTAAAATTATCTATTAAGAAATTATCAAGTCTAGGGAGAGAGAAGACACTTGTGTTTGTGTCAGCCTTCTGCACTGACTCAGGGCTTGTTCTTTCCTAAGGACTGAATTCCATAACAAAAATGCAAATATTGATGTGCCTGACATTATACAGAACAAATTGAACACACTAAGTGTATGAGTTGTCTCACAAATTGGGATCAAAACGTGGGACCCTTTGACTCTTGAACAAACTCCAGTTGTGCCAGATTTCCTCCTCATCCTACAAATGGTGGTGTGAAGGGAAAACCATTCCCTTCTGCTCCATCTGGACTTCTGAGCTGGGACTATCACGTTGCAAAATGGGTGCCTATTTTGGGCTATTAAAACTGTCTTACTGTGCTTAAAACACAGGTCATAAAACAGGCCTGAGGCTTCTCCCTTTCCCTGAGCTTCCCACATCAGAGCATCACATGAAGACAACGCAGAGCCCAGGGCAAATCCCGAGTCCTGGGAGGCAGAGGACAGGGATGATGCACTTGGAGAGCTGTGGCTCACTGGGCTGACCCTCTCCAGGAAGTTCAGCAGGACACAGCCAGCAAATGCAGCTGTGTGGAACCTGCACATTCCACACCCCAGCCAAAAACAGGACAAAAAGGGACTGTTAAATTTCTTACTTCAATTTTTATCTTATGTGGGGATTCTTTAAAAAAAAAAAAAAAAAGAGGTACATTTTCAAAACTCATTGGGCAAATATTTGTCTCTAAGAATTCCACGGTATTTGTATTGAGTAGAAAAATCACAACAGGTCAAAATGCTCTGAGGGAAAGGCAGATTCTGGGAGCATCCAAGCCAACCATAGTGCTGAAATATGAAGCAGCCCAGACAACAACTGACCCACATTCCATGACAGTGCCAAGGCAGAGTGGGAGTACAGGGAGATGTACTCTGAAAAAAAATACCCTTATTTTTAGAGTAGCACAACACTAAAACCTAAAACCACAGGATTTCTGCTACCAGGAGTGTTGAACTTAACCTCGTGACCAAGAAGATAATAAAATCAAGAACCACGTCAGTATAATTTCCAAGAGTGGTGTGGAGAGCTACACAAATGTTTCAAAGCAGAGGGAAAAAAATAATCCATCAAAACCTACCTTGTAAGTGAAACTGCAAACCCCAGAGCTGTGTGTAAAACGTTGGGAAGAACTGCACCCTTGGCTGGAATAGCACTAAAGGATTCAGTCCTGAAGGAAAACTAAACAAATTCCAGTCTAGAACACAAGCTGCAGGGAGAAGAACTATTCACATTCTATAAACATGGTATTTCTCTGGGATCAAGGCCTAAAGATTTAGTCTCTTGTAAAATGTCTTATTAATGAGAAGTTATACATTGGTATTTGTTCCTTCAGATGCATAAATAAAGGCTGGATGGCAAAATTACCCTTCAGAATAATTCAGTAATTCCTGTGGCTCTCTCGTAGGCACAGCAAGAGTTTCCTCAGTGTTTTCTCAGTGGATTCTCTCAGCTCCATCAGATATTTATTCAGCAAAATAAAGAACAAATTGCTGAGTGTAAAACCACTACTAAAGGTCTGCAGCATCATCCATTAGCTCCAGGATTTCCTTGACAGCACAAAGGATTGCAGGCTGCCAATTATAATTAATTTGAGCTCCCTATGGTCTTAAGCAGAGCTCCTCATTGCCCTGGATAGGAAAATGCAGGTTAAACCCCAAGAGTAATATAAAATGGACCCAAAGCTGGTCCCAGGCACTGTGTTTTACAGAATTGGCTGTATCTCTGTAAACAATGGGTAGGTGACATTGGCACTGGGCAGAATGCACAAGCTGTGGCATTTTTACAGTGTCTCTGGTCTCCTTTTCAGGAAATCCAGTCAGAGCTCACATGAAAATTTAACAAGTACATACTGTACCATTCAGATGCACATATATAACATCTTTACAAATGGAGAAAGAGATTGATTTTGACAGCTTCAGTTCATGGTGCATTAATAAACAGAATTTTTGTAACAGCCGTGAAGCCAAGGGAGAAAGAAGACAAAATGCTAAAATAATTCATGATTTCTGAATGATTTTGAAGTAGCAAACCTACTGGCATCTTCCCTGACTGATCTAATTGGACTTATTTCCAGTTTATTCTTTCTAGGAGGGGGGAAAAAGGCAACATCAGCAAAAAAACCCTGTTTATTAAACAAGAGTATGATTACCTAGTTCTAAATACCACAGTCATGCAATCCTTAGCTGCGTGGACATCCATCTCCAACACACCTGCTTACAAAGGACATGCAAGATTACTGAGGATTCATTCTTGTAAATAATTAATGGCATATTTAGCAAAGACTTGTGTTGCAAGTTTCTGTATTTCCCATTAGGTTAGAATAAAACATTTTTAGACTACATGTTAATCCAGTCTAAATGTAGTCTGTGCAACTGGACCTTGAAACTTGAAGGACTTGGCCCTGCAGAAGTAATTTGTAGGAGAAAGAGGCTTAAAATATCTGGGTGGTTCACAGATGGTATTAAACTCACCCTGGGAATTCCTTTTCAATGCATTTTTTTTGTGTCCAGCCCTAGAAAGACACAATTATATAAAAATGAGAAGCACATATAAGGGACAAGTGAAAACAGTGGGACTCTTTGTAGAAACCATCTGACTTTTGACCTCACTGGAAGAGTGTGCCAGGCAAGATCTGCATTTTACTTGTTGGATAAAGATGTTCAAGGGTTTGATTCCAAAATACATGAGATCACAGCTGCATAGTCTGAAGGTGTTCTCCTGATTACAGTTTACTGCTGTTTGGAAGCAAAGTGTATTTTACAATAGCACAGAAATTTCCATGATGAAACTGTTCTGACTTTGCTTATGATAGTGTCAGTCTCCAGCCTTGAGTCATGGAACAGGAGATCCATCCAATTCTGCCTTGGGCTCACTTTTCAGGCTAAAAGTTCACCAGTAGGACTGACCCCAGAGAAACCACCACTGCCTCTGTCCATCAGGTGAATTGGGATTAAATTGCTGAGCAGCCTGACCTTCCAAAGCCTGCAGCAAGATGGCATTGGCACCATTAAGAAACAGCACACTGAGCTGCAATACAGCAGGTGAGGAGCTGTCATGACAGAACTGTCCAAGAAATTATACTTCAACAGAAAAACAAGTTAGCTCAGTCTTTGCTGAAGAATAATTTCTCAAAAAGACCCTCTGCATCTGCAAAGAGCAGAAGCACAACCCCCACAGCAGTGAACTTACTGTACATACATATTTTGCCTAAATGAGGATGTAAAGCACTACATAAATCCTGACTTCATCTCTTAGAAAGCAGTAACTTTACTGTGTAGGAATGTTATTAAGTCCTAGTTTTCCTTAAGATGAAACTAAAAATTCCTGAATTTGGAGCTATTCTACTTCCCTTCTCAAGTATTGCTTCAGGAGTTGGTGAGCAGGAAGTGGAATAGATGGAACCATCCCAAAGATTACTCTATCCCAGGTGGATATAAAACTAAATAATAGTTTTATTAGGGAATAATAATAAAAATAATATGGGAACTGGAACCATGACTTTTGGGGAGTCATGATACATGACTTCAGTCTTAAAACAGATATTGCTCTGCTAAGCTGGACCTTGTTTATTGTGAGTTGTAATCAATGTGGTCTTTCATCATCTTGTCTTCAGCTGCTGATCAACTCTAGACTTCTTATATTTCCTTCCACAAACTGAAACCTAAGTTAGCTCCCAATTATATGAAGTTGTACCTTCTGTGAGACGCTCATAAATCCTGAATATTATGATCTTCACTAGATTTCAGGTCCTCAGGAACTCCAAACCGTGACCTACTGAAGGAACCTTGGTCACTCATTCCATGTTTCACTGGCCCCTAAAGTATTTTAACTCCCCAACAGCTGAATTTCTTGTGGATCATGGTCAGTGTATGAAACACCAGCTGAAGTCCTATGTTACCCAAGAAATGAAACCGATGGTGATAACAAAATGCCATTGAAGTAAATGCTGAAACACCAACATGAATCAGAATTTTGCCCTGCAGCTCTGCATCAAAGATTCCTCAGCTCTCATCCAATTAGCACAGAACACCACTTTTCCCATTCCACTTCTGCTGACAACTGAATGATCTTCACTATTTCAATTAATTTGAAAAAATTACATGTCACAATCATTCCAGATTTGGCAGCAAGATGAGATCTGAATCAGAATGTACTGTTTGCATGCAATACATAATAAAGAGAAATGACATCTCTGATAAGGGTACAAGTTATCCAAACTTAGGTTGGATATTAGAAAAAGGTTCTTCCCCCAGAGGGTGGTTGAGCACTGAACAGGCTCCCCAGGGCAGTGGGCACAGCACCAAGGCTGAGCTCAGGAAGTGTTTGGATGATCCTCTCAGGTACAGGGTGTGACTCTTGGGGATGGATGGGCCTGTGCAGGGTTGAGGGTTGAACTTGATGATCATTTTAAGTCCCTTCCAAGTCAGCATATTCTGTGATTCTGATGGTCTTCCTCTCCATTTTTCCCCACCTCTTCCTCTCCTGTTCCTTCCCTTGTAAAATGCCAGCAGGAGCACTGGAGCTGTGAAACAAAGCCAATGTGGAACCCAGCGATTCCTAGAGCAGCTCTGGAGTATCAGAGATGTTCAGTGTTAGTGTGCACACGAGGCCACCAATAAACAAGTCCCTGCTGCTTATTCATTTTTTATTTGCTTGCCATAGTAGAACATCACTGTGCTTTGGAGGAGACGTTTCAAGTCTTTGTAGTGCCGAAGTAGTGAGTGCTGGATGACATTTTGTCTCTTCTCAGTGACACGCACGGATCGTCTCGACAAACACAGACTCAAAATAGGCCCCGTGTCCTCTTTATAAAGAAAATGTCTGAGGGGAAAAAAACCCCACAAATTAAATAGAGACAAGAGCCTTTTGAACATGGGAATGCTCCTCTTTATTGTTACAGGGAGCACACTGAACTACAACGGGCTGGCAGGAAAATCTCAAAAACTAGGGTAAGACTCACAACCAAGAGAACAAATGCTTTCTGCTGCTGCATCTAAGAAACTGCTCCTAGCAGGGCTATTTGTGCCTTGGCCATCCGAATAATTTGAACATGAAAGCTGATACTGCCAATCCAAACGTACCCCGAATTCTTTTTTCTATACAACAACAGGAAAAGAAACATCAATTCTGCTCAGAGAGCACGTGCAGCTTCAGACTAACGAAAATGAGGTTGTTTAATATTCTGCTGATTTGAGAAAAACAGCACTGACATGACTCACCTCTTTCCTTTCTCCTCTGGGGATCATTCCTTTCTAACACGTTTGGTTTTCTCTTTATATAACCAGCTCATAAAACAGGCATTCAGTTGTCTGAAAGAAAACAAATTAATCAAACCATGCACACCATTTATATAGTTGCATTTTAAAAGTTTTTATCAAGGAAGTCGTATCAAATGGACCTGCATTGGTTTGCTTGTGGACTATGCATCAAAATAAATACAATTACATAAATTTTATTTTCCCTCTTGTGTTCCTTGTGTGGATATTTCATTTTAAGAAGTATTTTCCTCTAACTGAATGGATGCCAGTTGCAGAAATATCTGCTACTAAGCTAGAAAAATTTCATCATAACTTTTCATCATAAATATCAAAGCCTAGAAATCCTCTGAGAGAGAACTAAACATATCAGATCATTGTACTTTCTGGGAAAATGCTGCAAACTTGTTTACCAGAAGACTGCTAGAGCGAGAAAATAAACCAAATCAAAGGAGGGTCATGTTTCTACTAATAGGGTTCTGATCCTGCAAATATTTTTGTTTGTGACACTTACAGAATCATATCAAGTAGTAAATGGAAACTTGAGCACAATTTGCCAGGTGCTTTGTACCCACAGGAAGAACGAGGCTTAGTTTCATTCCAATTTCAGAGGGATTTACAAATCAATATACTTGGAATATATTGGTTGGTGCCTGCCTTCATCAGCTTTGATTTATGTCTGTGAAAATGCTCCTTTCATTTTGGTCTTTCAACATGAAGACCAGAGTTTGCCTCCCACAGATTTTTCCTCTCCAAAGCTCTGTCCCAGGAGGAATGCAGAGCCTGCTTTAAGGTAAGGTAGTGAAAAGTGCAAATAGATTCATCATCATCATCATCATCTATGCAACTTGAAAGTAAAAGACATGCAGATAATCATACTTTTTACGCAAGATTAGTTAGCACCATAGGTTTAAATAATTTAACACTTTCTATTTCTGGTACCCCCTCTTCCAAACATGATGATGGTTCACTTGGGAAGAGCAAGCTGGCCCAGGAGCAGCTCCCTCAGCTGGCAGGAACCCACCTGGGATTTATTCCCAGAATGAGTCTCTTGGTGCCTGGTTTGGCAGGAGGGAGAGAAAATGAAACACTTTATCAAAGTGAAAACAGCAAGATAGATTCCAGTCTTGTTTGACTGTTTTCTACCAGACAATATTTTTGATCCAAAGGAACCCTATAAAGTGTCCTTTATAGAGGCAACCAGTGTGTCAGCTGGTTAAAAATACATCCATCTCATCTTCTGTGCTTCTATAGCTACTAAAGCTGTCTTGGAGATATTTTCTTGGGTTGAAAAATATTTTAGTACATTCAATCTTGTACAAATCTTTAAATCTGATATGGAGCTTTTCAACCTTACATTTTAAACAAGAAATCAGTGTTGTTCTTCATCTTAGAAGGCAGCTCTATTGATTAGTCAAACAGACTTTCACAGAATTCACTGCAAACCATCAACATTTTCTAGCATGACCTAAAAGCTATATGGAGAAAAACCATTTAAAACTTGCTACTTCCTCTCTTTTTGGGACTAAAAATAGATTTGGCTCATTATCTCACTTGGCACCTTAATGTATTCCATTGCATGATGGCACAGCTTAGATTACACAACCACATGCTTCTTCTTCCTCAGGGTCTACCTTATACACAGCAAGAAGGGACAGTTCTCATTGAAAGAGAAACTCTTTGATATTTTACTTTAAATCTTTTGCTCAATTTCTGTTCTCATGGCAATATTCCCACTCATTAGATGCAGCACCTCGCCCCAGCCATGGGTGGAGGTTACCCCAACAGCCACACTTGTTCAAATGGAGTCTTGGAAGAATTTTCTTACCAAGCTCCACCATTAAATGTAGGCTCACAGACTTTTTTCTTTCCCCAGAAGGCCACTAAGTTGACCAAACCTCAGGAGACACACAGCCCAAAGGTGACTCACAAACAAGATGTGTGCAGGTGGATAAAGCAAAAAGGCAAACACACTTCTCAGTGTCACAGATGCGACACCCAGAGACCCCACAGAACTGCTTTGTTTGCACCTGCTTTCAGAAATGGCTAAAGCATATTTTCTTCATATAAGATAAGCAAAATGTTTTCCATGTATTTCTGGAGAAGCAGAGCAAGGCTCTTCTCGGTGGTGCCAAGTAATAGAATAAGAGGCAATGGGCAGAAACTGGTGCTCAGGAAATTCCACCTGAACATGAGGAAGAACTTCTTTACTGTGCAGGTGAGGTTGTGGAGTTTCCCTCACTGGAGATATTCCAGAACCATCTGGACACAATCTTGTGCCATGTGCTCTGGGATGACCTGTCTGAGCAGGGAGGTTGGACCAGATGACTCACTGTGGTCCCTTCCAACGTCACTCATTCGGTGACTCTGTACGTGAATGAGGAACTGCATTAATGGAAAATTTTCTGACACAAAGTTTCATCCCTAAAATTTTGCAAACTTATATCTGTCTAAGCCCAGGAGCTTGCTCAGCTTCACATACAACCACTGCTCAAGTCAGCCTAGGAAATGTGCTTGTAGGTGAGTGCATTCCTTAGCACCAGTTCCGGGCAAAGACAAAGCAGCGTTTAAGGCACTGCCTCGCTGTAAGAAACGAGGGGAGAACCCACAGGATCCCAAGTGCCGCCTGAGCATTCTACAAGACTGGGATAGCGATTAAAAAGTATCCCTGGCTTCTACAGGTCAGAACTCCAAAGAAACACGACCCCCATCACCGGGAACAGCAAAGCAGCCCCGAGTTGCGCAGGACGAGGAGAAGTGACCTTGCGTTTAAAATAAAAACCCGTGAAACCACATACTCTCTTTAAATAAATTCCCAAACGGAGCTACTCAGTCGAGGTGGAATACCTCGTTTTCCCGGGGTTTCCGTGCGACACCTCCTTTGCCACGAGCCCCCCGCCAGCCCCAGCGCGGCCCCGCCGGCTCCGCACAAGGTCCCGCCGGGCTGCGCGGGGTCCCGGCGGGGCGGACACGGGCACGGACACGGGCAGTGCGACCCCCGCGCGTCCTGTCGCGGGGAACCGGCGCTTTCTGACCCTCCCCAAGATACCCTCCTCCTCCTTCTCTTCCTCCTCCTCCTCTTTCTCCAGCCGCGAGTGGAGGCGGCAGCGGACCCTGAGCCCCGCGGTGCCGGAGGGTCGCGCCGCGAAGCGCCCCGAGGGTCGGGCCGGGGAGGGCTCGGGGGGTTCCGGGGGGCTCCCCCCGCACGCCGAGGGCGGGGCGGCCCCTCCCCACGGCCCCCCCCGGCCGAGGGGCGGGCGGGGCGGACCCCGCGCACCTGCGGAGCCCCCGCCTTTGTGCAGTGCAGGTGCGGCGCCCACCCCCCCGCCGTGACGTCACACGGCCGCTCGCGGGGCACCATGGGAGAATCCCAATGTTTTCCAACGGATGCGCTCAGCGGCGCCGCTGCTTGAGGCGACTCCGGGAGCGACGCTCGGGGGAGGGGGCGTCCCGGGAAGGGGCGTCCCGGGAGGGGGCGGCGGCGGCGGCGGCGGGGGGCCGGGCCGGCGGCCCGCGCCCCTGCTCTTCCCCACCCCGGCTGGCAGCATGGCCCACCCCCGTGAGGAGCCCGGAGCTGCCTCCTGAGCTCCCCGTGCCGGCGGAGCGCCCGCCGCAGCCCTGCCGACGGCGCCGGGGAAGATGCTGCCGCGGCTGGTCCTGCCCGGCTGACGCCCCTTCGCCGCCGCCGCACCCCCGTCCCCATTGTCCCCCGGCCGCCTCCGGCTCCATGAGCGCCTCCTCCTCCCCCCTCCTCTGAGCTTCCCGCCCTCCACCTCATGGCTGCATCGGAAGAAGGGACCGGCTGCTTTCTCCCGCGAGGCAGGTCGCAGAGTGACCCCAGCATCCTCACCGACCCCGGGGAGCGCACAGGTAACGGCCCCGGCGGCGCTCGGGGGGCGGGCGGGGGAGCGCCGGGATCATCCGCCAATTTGTAGCGCGCCGGGCAGGGATTGGGAACATATTTCCTGCGGTAAGTGCTGAAATGATGCAGCCGCTTAGCTCCAAACGGGATTAGAGCGGAGCGCGTCCCGCGGCGATCGCAGTGTCCGCTCGCCGAGTGAGCGCGGGGGGCGCGGCCGGAGCCGGGTCCCGGCCGGGGGTCCCCGGGAACGCTCGAGCCCCCGCAGCGATGATTTATTACTTCGGGGGGTGGGGTGGGGGAAATGAGGGCTAATAAAGCAGGCTGTTTGCATGGGATCGCCATGGAGACAAGGGAAGCAGAGTCATAATTAAACGCTTTCTGCCCACAAGAAGGTAATTTTCACTTCATAGGGAGAAGCGTAATCTCCTTATGGAGACACAGAGGGTGGTGCTGAGGGGACCCAGCCCAATCGTTAGGATATAAATAGAATATTGTGATGAGATTTTTTTTCTTCTTTAACAATGGCTAATGGTGTTTTCAGTTTAACTTCACTTTGAGGAGTTATTCTAAATGTCTGTTGGTGGTGACTCAGTAATTTCAGATTGTCAGAATCTAAGCAATGATGAGACCTTTAGGAAAAAAAAACCCAACAAACAGCCACATCACTTTGATGAGATGTGATTGCATGGGAAGGCACAACAACAAGCTGGAAGCAAAGGGTAAGAGCCAGTTTGCTCTCAGTTTCTCAGAATAGATGACGGTCACACAAGACCTCCAGGCTTCTTTATGAGAAAAGGAGTAACCAAAGCAGCATAAAGACAATGAATGGGGTGTTGATCATCACTGCCCACTACACTGAATTCTAAGCCTGGAATCTTGGGGTTTGGGTCAGACACTATGAGCCTGTGCAAGAGACAGTCCCTGAATGCAATTTCGGGTTGAACTTTATTCTGACCTTTCTCGGATTACCGAGTAAATAAAATATTCCAGACTCTATTCACACACCTGCTCTATTGCTTCCTCCTGAGCCTGTGAGGTTATTAATATTTGTATCTATTTTACGTTCTTCTATTTATTTGTCTTATCAAGCAATTCTGAGCACCTTGCTCTGGAGTGAAAGGCAAATTAAATTAAGGCAAACAGTAGATGATTTATCTCTGATTACCAACTGTTCCAATACCACAAG